ATATAGCAGATAATATTTGCACTGCAATACTGTAGCCCAGATGAAAAACTGCTGATGGCACACATAAAGGACATGATCCTGGAAAGGGAGCTAACGTGTTTGGGTCAGTGGCAGCTCTTCTGGCCCCCTTTACAGATCACTCAGTCTGTGCTCCATGGATGCTTTGGGCAGATGTAAAAGTAAAATGTCAAGATAAGACAAGATCTGTAAAAACTGTACTGACAGGGGCCGGCGATTTAGCTTAGAGGCATAGGCACTTGCCTGACAAGCACAAGGTTGTGTTTGATCCCTGGTACCAAAAACCAAAAAACTAAAACTGTACTGACAGGGGCTGGGGATACAGCTCACCAGTACAAGCGCATGCCTGGCAAATGCAAAGTCATGAGTTTGATCTCTGGTACCAAAAAAGAAAACAAACTGACTTACACAAAAAAGGGGAACCAGGCAAAAGGGACCATCTCCCCAAGGACAAGCTGTAGGATCCCTGAAGGTCAGTAAACTCCGGATCTGGATGGACCTGCTGGTTGCTGGCCCAGGCCATTCACAAATAAGTTAGATGGGCTGCCTTTGGATGTGTTGCTGACTCTGTGGAGACAGTTATTCCTTGAGCAGAAATACTGGCTGATGGGTCAGGGTCAGATGGCCAGAACAGCCCCAATGAAGCTGAAAAAGGTAACATTGGTCTCCTTTTACCCTGACTAGCAGGCAGGCCATGCTACCTGGGTCTTGGAGTCTGGGAGACCAGAGGCCACATGTGAAATTGACTACTGGTCTCCAAAGATGTACAGCATGTACTAACACTGGTGGATTTGGGAGCTGAGTCAGTGCTAATAGACAGCAGCCTGGACCACTTTATAGGACCTTCTGCAAACATGAAAGGGTATGGAGGTCACTACATCAGGGTCCCGAGGGTCCAAGTGACTTTGGGTAGTGGGCACTTGCCCCATGCCTATATGATGTTTATGTTTCTCTGACTGCTGAATACTTGCTAGGGATGGACTGACTGATGCTTGACTTGATACCATATGGGAAAAATTCTGGTGATAAATTCATATGGTAAAAACTATAGTCTGAGGCCATCCACACCGATGACTCTCCCACAAGCCACATGGGTTACGTGCAAGAAGCAGTACCAGCTGCCTGGAGACCAGGAGAAAATGAGACAGGTTGTCTTGAAATGTAAAAAGTAGGGTGATATGCCATTTTGAGCCCTTCAGTATGTCCTGTACAGAAGCCAGATAGGTTGTGGTGCATGACTATAAAGTCTCAATCTGACACTGGCAGTCAGGACCAATATGCCTTCACCTGGGAGGGTGGACAATGGACCTTCCAGATGTTTCCACATCTGGAAAGCTATTTGCTAGCCCAACTTTGGGTCATGGTCTGGTGGCCCAGGACTTAGCCACTTTGGCCAACTTGCCCTCTACATACTGTTTTATATTGATGAGTTTATGCTAACCTGTCTTACAGATTTAAGAGCTACCGTGCACAGTCTGAGAAAAGTTTTGCCGGTATGGGGGTGAACAGTAAATGAAAACAGGGTTCAGGGACCTGACTTGTCTGTCAAATTCTTAGGTGTTATATGGTTGAGGAAGATCAGACTCATGACAGTATGCCAATTACAGGTGTAAGTGGGCTTGCCAGGTTTCTGGTACACGTACCATACCCAGTTACCCTGCTGTGTCCTTTAGACAAGATGACAGAAAGGGGCATAACATGGGGCTACACAGATGCAGTGGAAAATGCTTGATGTGTGCTGGATAGATGCAGTGGAAGCTGCTTTTCAGGACTCAAAGAAGGCTGTCGTGCAGATGTAAGCCCTACACGTCATTCACCCTAACCTGCCATTTATCCTAACCCTCAGTGGATGATGATGAACTTGGCTGTGGCCTATGATAAAAACAGGAAAAACAGAAGCAGCCTGCAGGGTTTAGGTCACAACTGTGAAAGACAGCCAGGAGCTGATATTCCCTGACTGCGAAACAGTAATGAGGTGTGCTGTCCTAGATAACTGTGAGGAATCATGGGCCAGATGAGGGGCTAACATGGATATACACAGCCATCCCAAGAGTGACACAACACAGGCCCCCACTCTGTATTATGGGAGTTGCACCTGCAATAGCAGCCTCTTCTCAGCTAGTCTGCTGGCAGCCAAACTGGATTGTGGACTCATGGTATGCATGGCCCCACAACCCATCCAGGTAAACAAACTACAGGACTTGATCCCTAGTCCTATACAAAATTGATGGGATGGGACGGGATGGGGCGGGACAGGATGGGACAGGACAGAAGCAAAGATAGGTCAATCTCTGGCTGATGCTAGATATACTGATGGATCTGGCCGTGATGCAACCTTACAAGGGACAGTATGTCCAGTCCAGTCCAGTATGGAAGTACTCTGGTTTGGAACCAAAATAACCAGGTTAAATCATGGACAAAGTTGCAGACAATGTGATTGCCTGTAATGAGTAATAATAACAATAATAAAAAGACCTCCTGCGTGTCTGCATAGACAGCTGGGTGGACAGCTGGGCTGCCTCCAGGCGGCTGACACTCTGGCTGCAGGCATGAGCAGCTCAAGGGCAACAGACAGGACACCAAAAATTGACAGATTCAGCCCTGAATTCCAAGATCAAGTAGATTCATCCTGACGATTGCTGGAAAGCCTCTCCTGACGAATTCAATCCTCTGAAGACTTCCTTGAAGAGACAATGCACTCAAAGCCCTGCCCTGTCACCCTTGGAAGCTGACGAGTCAATGCACTCATCAGCTGAAGACTTAATGGACACCACACAGTGGAATACTGTAGCCTCTACATACAGCTCTTCTGTGGAATTCTTGGTCTTTTTCCTCCCATTAGTATTGGTGTTTGCTGTTGCATTTTGGACCCTGTCCTAAGATGGGACTTGGTCCTTAAACAAGGAGTCTCTGTTTTTACTGGGACATTTGACTAACTGTACTGTGAAGACTTTAATACATTTTAAAATAAAATCACATTTAAAAACTGTCCATACTAGGCTAGAGGTTTGGCTCAACGGCACAAGCACCTACCTGGCAAGCACAAGGTTGTGAGTTCAATCCCTGGTACCACATAAATAAAATAAAATAAAATTGTCTGTACTTTTGTTTTTAGGTGTTTTCATAAAAGTATGTCTCATTTTATTGTTTTCATTTCATTGTGCAGTTTAGGCTGACCTTGAATTCACTAGGTAGCCCAGGCTAGCCTAGAGTTTTCAGTGTTCCTCCTGACTCAGCTTCCAAGTACTGGGATTACAAGTGTGCACCACAACTGGTGAAGTATGTTTAACAGTGCTTTCTCCAGATTTTCTAGATAACATATTGTTAACATTTGCCTTTGTTGGGTGTGGTATTAAATGCCTCTCTTCCCAGATAAATAAGGAGGAGAGATTGAAGGGTCACAAGTTTGCGCAACTTCGTGAGATCTTGTCTTAATGTAAAAATTTCAAAAAGTGATAGGGATGTAGTTTAGTAATATGGTACCCTGGGGTTTGCCCCCAATAAATAAATATCTATGTACACATATAGAAATATGTAAAATGCTTGCTAAAAATAAAAAATTTGCTTTTATTCTGATATATATATATCAGATATATATATATATCAGATATATATATATATATATATATATATATATATATATATAAATTTATCCATCCTTCATCTTGGTTTTTCAGTTGAGTTTTTCTTCAAGCTGGGTACAGTGGCACATGCCTGTCACCCAGCTGCTGGGGAGGCTGAGACAGGAGTTTGAGCCCAGCCTGGGCAACTAAGACTGTCTCAAAATAAAAAAGGAAAAAGAACTGGAAATATAGCTCTGTATAGAGGCCCTGAGATCAAGCAAAACCAAAAACATTTTCTTCAAATGTTTGATAATCTTTGCCTAACTTCATGCTAAGAATGCAGCCGTCGGCAGTGTAATTAGGATCTTCCTGTAACTCTCCATCCAATTCTTTTGCTGTAAACTATCTCTGAAGCTAGTGTTCCAGAGAAAACGACTCATTACAGGTATTTTTTTTTTTGTCTTTTTCATTTTTACCGGTACCAGGGATCAAACTCATGACCGCCTGCTTACAAGGCAGGTGCTTATGCCACTGAGCTAAATCCCCAGCCCCGAGAAAATGACTCATAAAACATTATTTTAGAATAATGTCCATTACAGTCTGCTGACAATCTCATTCTGTCATCCCTCAGGGTTCCAGGTCAGCCTGCTTGGGAACCTGTATTAGTCCACTGATTGGTTTAGTGTAGTTTGGCTGTGGCTAACAGACTTATTGAAGATGGCACACCCACCCTGGTGTGGGTGGCACCAATTTTTTTTTTTTTTTTTTTTGTCTTTGTATAGACAGGGTCTCCCTATGCAGTTCAGGCTGGCCTTGAGCTCACTTTGTAGCCTAGACTGGTCTCGAACTCACAACGATCCTCTTGCCTCAGTCTCCTGAGTGCTGGGGTTTTACAGGTTTTACATGCCTGGCTTGGGTGGCACCAACTAATAGGCTTGAGGCCTGGATGGAACAAAGAGGGGAAGAAGACTGGCTGCTTTCTGCCATGGACTGCTTCTCCTCTGCTATGCCCCTTTGCTGTGCCACCCTACTGTGGAGCCAGCCAACTATGGACTGAAACCACTACAAAGTGAGCTAAAACAAACTTTTCCTTCTTTAATTTGTGAGTGTATTTTTCCCCAGCAACAGGAGAGTAACTGAGACATACAACTTGAATTATTAACCTCTGCCTGGAAACAGCCTACTTTAAGCCATCGTTGCCCCTGCTTCCTGATTAAACCATTTACATTTTGTCTTAAATCAGCCTTTAGTCCCAGCTTTTTCACTTTCAGGAGTCTCCTTCACATTCTCTGTGGCAAGTAGCATCTTTGTCCTGGAACCACCAAACCTCTACCTCCTGATGAAATCTGACATCTTCCTTTGGGCTCTGTACCTCTCAGCACATTCAATTTTTTGTTTCTTCAAGCTGGATTAGGCAAATTTTGCTAGAATTATCAACATTTTATTATGCAAAAGCATCATGGAGCCGAGAAACTTCAGCATTTCCATAAACAGAGATTCAGGTAATTCATCTATATTTCAAAATAAATGGATGCAAACCAGATACATGAGCATTTCAGGCCAGACTGAAAACAAAATTCACTGGACTTAACCCACAGTTCAGGATAATCCTCTGAAAAGAAATAAAGTCAAAGTGGCATTTAATAGCCAGCCCTGCACTTTCAGCTTTGAGAATGGTATCGGAACTTCCTTCGGTTTTAATTCAAGCTGACACATTATTGTTAGCTTAACATTTGGGTCAAATGCTACCCCAGTCGGGAGGAAGAACAAATCTATTTCTTTTTATCAAAAGCCAGGCAAGATAGTGGCTACTGATTTTGTGCGTTCCTGCCAAATAAGGACCTCTGCTCAAGACTTGTCTATGGGGCGCTGTCCCTGGCCGCGGAGGCTTTGGATTTCAGACCTCAGCTCCAGTCAGCCTCGATCATGGCCAACAGTTGGCTAAGCCTTTTTTTAACATCAGACTCACTGGGAGCCCGACAGGCCTTGGCATGCACCCTGATGTGCTCAGCCAGCTTGGACTTATAGATGAAGCCCTTTCCGCAATCGTCACAGGCAAAGGGCCTTTCCGGCCTGTGGATGCGCTGATGCCTCCGCATGTGTCCCCTCTCTCGAAAGTTCTTGTCACACTCAGGACAGCGGAAGGGTCTCTCTCCAGTGTGCAGGCCTTGGTGGCTGAGCAGCTGCGCCTTCAGGCGGAAACGCTTATTACAGGTGGGACACTGGAAGGGTTTCTCCCCTGTGTGTGTGCGGATGTGTTCGGTGAGCTTGGATTGCTTGGCGAAACCCTTGCCACAGGCGCAGGAGAAGGGCATCTCCCCGCGGTGCAGCAGCTGGTGCGCCTTCATGTCTGCCTTCACGCGGTAGCACTTGTCGCACTCCGGGCACTGGAAAGGCCTCTCGCCCGTGTGTAGGCGCTGGTGGCTGAGTAGCTGCCCCTTCAAGCGGAAGCCACGGTCGCACTCCAGGCAGCGGAAGGGGCGCTCGCCGCTGTGCACACGCAGGTGCTCAGTGAGCTTGGACGGATGCGCAAAGCCCTTGGCACACTGTGGGCATGAGAAGGGACGCCTGGTGCTGTGCGTGCGCTGGTGCATCGTCAGGAGGCCCTTGAGGCGGAAGCGCTTGCCACACTCCGGGCACACGAAGGGCCGCTCCCCGCTGTGCACACGCAGGTGCTCAAGGAGCCTGCAGTGGTGTGCAAAGCCGCGGCCACATTCGCTGCAGGAGAACGGCTGCTCCCCGTAGTGCTCCCGTGCATGGGCTCTTAGCGCCCTCTGTAGGCGGAAGCTTAGCGTGCACTGCGGGCACTGGAAGGGCTTTTCTTCTGTGTGCCGCTGCTGGTGGCGCTGCAGCTGCCTCTGCTGGCGGAAGCTCCTGCCGCATTGGGCACAGGGAAAAGGTGGCTCCCTGGCATGCAGCTGCGTGTGCTCTGCAAGCGCGCACTGTATGGCAAGATCCTCGCCACACTTCCGGCTGTGGGAAGGATTCTCCTCTTTGTGCCCGGGTCGGATCTGCTCCTGTTGGGCACACAGTTTACACGGGGGGCACTGGCACGGGTTTTTCCTCATGTGGGTGCCCATATGTCTCCGCAAACACCGCTTCAGGCGGAAGCGCTGCCCACACTCTAGGCACTGGAAGCGACCCTGGGTCCCCTGCAGCGGCTGTGCCTCAGCTCGCTTGTTGAACTTCTGCCATGCCCTATCCCTAGGTGATCGGTCCTTGGAGTGGCACTTCTGGTGCCTTACTAAGTGGTTCTTTTCCCAAAAGCTTTCCCCGCAGGCAGGGCAAGGGTGCTGGGTGCTTTTCCAGGAGGGGGCTTCCCCCAAGCCTGGGAGTACCAGGGCACTGTGATTTGGGATCCCCTCTCGTTGGGCAGAATCATTGGTCACTGCAGCCTGGACATGTGTGTTTTGTCTCTTTTGCTTCATGGAGACGAGGCCTGGGTCAGGACTTTCTCCTAAAAATTCAGATCCAGAGGAAGACTGGCTCTGAAGAAGACCTAACTGGAGATGACATTTAGTTTCTCTTGGTTTCACAGTTTGCAGGTTTCCTGAAACTGAAAACAAAAATTCAGTTAGTCTGCCTTTCTGTAACATGACTAAAGATTGTCATCACAAAAATGGTTTCTACCATGGCATGGTCTGCTTTCATCAAATTCCCCAGGTGTGTGGTATGCAAAATGAATCTGGTCATAATTTATGTGAAAAATGAATTTGGTAACAGTCTCCTGAAAATGTGAGCAGACCTCACATTATAGCAATGAAAACAGGAAAACACAGATCACAGAGGTCTGGTGTAAGCTCTGGAATCCATGGCCTGGGTCCAAGTGCCATTTGTGCACTATGCAACCTTTGTTGAACAGATGGCTTTTGGCTGCTTCTCCTGTATAAATGGGAACACACTATATAAGTAACACTTGACCACCGTAATGACTTCAGAAGACCAGATGTGCTGTTTTATACCTAGAAATACCTAGTAGAGCTTGAATACGAGCTCTAGCTCATCCACCTTGCACCACTGCTTTTGTCTAACATCTTTGAGACATACAGCCTCAGCTCTGCCAAACAGGAAGTCAAAATTAAGAGAAGGGAAACTGGAACTCTGATGTGTTACTATTAGACTCTCATTTCTTAATACTCACCTCCAAACAGGTGTCCCTCCATAATGGGATCAAAGTGCAGGTCAGCAGAGGAGAGAGCCACGTTTCCTGGATGTTGTGATTCTCCCCAGCTCCTGCAGGGCTCTCTTCCCTGTTCAATCCAGGAAATGAGTTCTGGTTTGGGAAGGGCACCACCTGCAGAGAAGTCAGACAGGATAGCTCGGCTTCCTTGGGCACTCTATCCAAAGCACACTAAGTTGCTTCTGAGTTTTTCAAAATCCACTTCTAGGACACAATTTGTCAACAAATATGTTACAAGTTTATACAAAGGAGGCAAAACTATTGAGCCATCTAACAGTGCTTCTTAGTCCTTGTGGGTCTGTTAGACTGGATGTGTTATTTTATCATACTCTCCATGCATCTAGTAATGCTATATTTCATCCAAAAGCAAAATGGCAAAGGCTTAAATATTCTTTTTATTTATTTTTGTTTGTTCTGAGACAGGATCTCACCATGTGATTCAGGATGGCCTCAAACATGCAGGGATCCTCCTGTCTCAGCCTCCCTCGTGCTGGAATTACAGGTGTGTGCCACCAACCTGACTTTCAATAATCTTAATATTCATTTAAGCCACATCTTAGGAGTACAACTGTATTTATTTATTTGGAATTTTTTTTAAAAGTTTTTCAAGGTAGGGTCTCACTGTGTAGTCCAGGCTGGCCTCACACTCATGGCAATCCTTCTGCTTCAGCCTCCCGAGTACTGGGATTACAGGTAGGCACCACCATGCCCAGCCAGGGTGGGTATATTTTTAAATGAAGTTAACTCAGACAAAAATTATGTCAAAAGGGCTTTTAAGGGGCTGGGGATTTAGCTCAGCGGCACAAAGCGCCTGCCTTGCAAGCAGGCAGTTGTGAGTTCGATCCCTGGTACCGATAAAAAGGAAAAAAAAAGGGGGGGGGGTTTAAAAAATAATTTTTATTAAAAATATTTCTAATAAAAAGTAAGCAGTACAATATACAGAAACCTCAGTGCTGTGTAATTGTCAGATCTTACCATGCTGGCAAACTTGCTTCAGGCTTTTTAAGGACAAGACATGTTGCCCAGTTGAAGCCCTTAAGTGTAGTGTCTATCTCTAGAGGTAATTGCTACCATTAAGTGACTGTTTATCATTCCCTCGCATGTTTTTATATTTTTGTAGTGCCAGAGAGTGAATCCAAGACCTTGCTCATGCTAAACTACCACCAAGGCACAGCCCACCCCAGTATCTTTATTTTTTAAATATATACACAAAATTTTATTCCCAGCTTTGAATTATAAAACAGACCAGCTCACTCTGTATGGAGAGAGATTATGTGTTCAAGATGTCTCCACTTTGAAATAAAGCTTAGGGTCATTCACTGGATATGGTGTGAAGGGATGACCCTGTCCTGTCCATCTGGTCCTTGTGCTCAATGGCATGGTTGCACTACAGGGTGAGCGTGTTTTTACCATCACCACACATCCAGTCAGATGTGCTCACTCACGAGCATCTGCTTTACATCCTGACAACGGTAGGGGATATTTTCCATCTCTAACACGGGAAGTCATGCCAGCTGACAGGACAGTCAGTTTCCCTCTTGTTTCCAGAGGGTTTTTTTTTTTAGTTTGTTTTGTCTTTTTGAGACAGGGTCTCACTATGCAGTTCAGTCTTGTCTTGAGCTTACACTGTAGCCCAGGCTGGCCCTAAACTTGCAAACCATTCTCCTGCCTCAGTCTCCCAAATGCTGGAATTACAGGAGTGCATCACCACGCCCAGCTTTTTCCCGGAGGATTCTTGAAGGTTCCTGGTCCTCTGTTCCTCCACATTTTTTTTTTGTACTGGGAATCGAACTCATGACCTCATGTTTGCCTGGCAGGTGCAGTGCTGCTGAGCTACATTCCTGGTTCCTTCTGGTTTTTTTGTTTTTTGTTTGGTTTGTTCTTTTTGAGACATGGTTTCACTGTGCAGTACAATGGTTTCACTATGCAGTGCACTCTAACCCAGGCTGGCCTCAAACTTGCAGCAATCCTCCCTTTAAGTCTGCCAATGCTGGGATACAGGCATGCGCCTCTGTGCCCGCTTCCTCCATGTTTTTCAGGGTCAGCCTACAGGCCATGAAAAGTCCTACAGGGGTTTTGGTTGGAATTCCTTTGGCCATACAGACTGATATGAGGAAACGGGAAAGGTGGGAAGGTTCGTGTAACTGACTATGATTAGGAGAATGGATAATCACAAGGCCATAGATGAGAGCAGGAGTAAGGAAAGTTATTAAAAATACAAATCTGAAACCTGGGCCCAACAGTGAACAAATTAAAATGCTGTATGATTTTGAGGAACTGTTAAGCATGAAAAGGGGGAATCCATTCAATCTCAATGCTTGGGACATTTTGGGGAGGAGCTGACACAGGGTTAATGACATAGAATTATTATTTTCCTGTATGAATTTATTTTATTTCTTTTTCCTTTTTTTTTGAGACAGGGATTCACTATGTAGTGCAGGCTAACCTTGAACTCACGTATATAGCCAACACTAGGCTCGAACTCATGGTGGTACTCCTGCCTCAGCCTCCCAAGTGCTAGGATCTGTATAAATTTGATTACTTTAACCAATTCTTTGGTAACAGTGAAAACAATGCAATGTCTTAGATTATGTGTTTTAAGACAATCCATTGATAGGATCTGGAAAATTTAACTCTGGTAATAAAACAGAGAACACAAGTTTTATAAACTTTGCAGTTATAACATACAGGAAACAGTTTAGCTGTCAGGAAAGAGGGAGTATGAGAAGTCTTCACCTTATCTTTGTAGGTGGGCACAGCCAAGTAATGTAAAGTTGATAGACCATGAGCTACAAGTTTACATATATTATTTTAAGTGATGAAATCAATAGCAACATAATAAACTATAAAAAAAGATGATGGGAAAAGAGGCATAACATAAATGGGTTAAGGTCTCATTTTCCATACTAATTAATGCTAGCTAAACTTAATGAACCAAGAAACAGGTGTTTCCATTATATTTAGACTGGAAGAAACCAGTTTATGAACTCAAACAAAAATAGTTGCCTCTAGGAGTTGACTGAGTGTGAGGTAGAATGAAGTGGGATCCATTCACCATTCTTCCTTCATTTAATGCTTCTCTGAATAGATGGAGTTTTAAAAACTTTCTTTCATAAATAAGAAGAATTATAAAGGGGCTGGAGGGCATAGCTCAGTTACACAGCACTTGCCCAGCATGTGCAAGGCTCTGGGATTCATGACCAAAAACAAGAAGAAATATAAAGACCAAATAAAGAAAAGACCAAAAAGAACATTTCTTATCATAACCATAGATTTAGCTACACTTTTTTAATTTTAAAAAGAATAAAACAAACAATGAGAATATTGGATTTCAAAAACAGCACAGTAGGAAATCAACAATAGTTACTATATGGCACATTGTTAGCCTCTAAATAGTTGCTTACACTACCAGATATAGGCATGCAAAGTTTATCAGACAATATAACCACTAAGTTGTTTCCTTTTTTTTTTTTTTGGTACCAAGAATCGAACTCACGACCTTGTGCTTGCAAGCAGGCACGTATGCCACTGAACTAAACCCCTGGCCCCTGTTGTTTCTTTATTTAGTTGCTATCACTTCAGAAATTTCAGGTGTGTGACTTCTAATTTCTTTTGTGTCTATGTCTCCAGGACATAGTTCTGGGTAGGCTCAAGGTCTGGAGTCAGCTACTCTTAAGTTCTTGTGTGAATCCTTCCAGAATCTCACAGGAAGAACATTAATTGCTTTTTGACAGATGGAGAGAAGGATTGAACCCAGAGCCTCATAAATGCTAGGAAAGTGTTCCACCATTGAGCTATATCCTCAGCCTGACCTTTGGCTTCTTGGAATCTTTAACCTGCTGGAAAGCTATGTGGAGGGCCCTTCACTGGTCAAAGACACACCTATAGGTATTTGAGCTGGAGATGCAGGTGTGCCCACCTAGCATACAGGAGGATCCTGGGTTCAACTCTAGTATCACTCAAACAAATACATAAATCAGATAGACACACAGATACTTTATGGAAAGAGGCAGGTATGCTCCCAAGTGGAAAATCATGGCAACCCAAGAGTAAGCTATGATGAAAATCTTGAAATGTAGTCCCCTCTCACCACCTCCCATTACATGTTGTCTGCATGTTACATGTAGTCTTAAGTAATGATCTTCACCCTGTAGTGAGCAAGGTAACATCTACAAAGTATTAACTAAAAGAGCAGGAGGTTAAGAAGTCTTTCTGAGATAATTTCTGAGGACTCTTGCTATCTGACAGACAGAGCACCTAGCTAGTGAGCCCTCTCACGGGACCTGCTTCCATGATTTATCCCCAAATCTGAATGCATCTTACCTAGAGAGACAAAAGTCTCATAATTGGTCTTCATGACATCATTGTAAAGCTCCTTCTGCCACACCTCTAGATCCTGCCATTCTTCCTCCAAGAAATAAATGGCCACATCTTCAAAAGTCAGAGGTAACTAAAATGACACACATAATATAGTTGTTACAGCTTCAAAATGACTCCAGCTCATCCCTGTTCGTTTAAAAGGCTTGTGTGGTGGGCAGCTGTTTAGTCTATTCAGCAGCCTCTTCCTTGGGAATGACTCCTTGTCCCAGTGCAGCATGGGGTCTGCTGTTACCCACCACTACTCCCTCCACATTCCTTTACACCTCTCCAAGCTCTATATCCCAAGGCTACATCCCCACATACTGGAACTTTTCTTAAAAAAAAAAAAAAAAAAAAAAAGGAAAAAATCACTACGTAATTTCATTCACTTAATGTTATGACCATTTCCCAAGTCAACAGAAAGAAGCAAGCTCATTTTGGGATAAACTGCATTATATCCCATGAATATATGCTTCTGAATGGACATATTCATTGGTTACTGTAATTCCCTTGCTAAACTACAAACACTGAAATATGCAGTATACTTCTTTCTGTACTAGTACTCTATTTGTAGCACACAGTCTAAAAAGGAGAACCAACGGGTACAAACGTGGTCAGTTTTATTTACTTTTTGTGATGCTGGGGATTAAACCCAGGGCCTTTTCATATGCTAGGAAAGAGTTCTACCAGTGAGCTACATCCCTAACTCAATTTAATATTTGTGTTCATTATGGTGACTTGAAGAATTAATACTTGCTTAAGTTCATTAACTAGAACTATGTAAATTATACAATTTTAGTTTAAAATATTACCATATATTCCACACCTTATTGAACTGTTTTATTTAACCTCAGTTGAACTTCAACGTGTTCTTATCTATAAAAATATACCTTGTTTTGACTTTGATTTATTTATCTTTTGTTCTCTTTCTTTCTTTTTTGGTGGTTCGGGAGATTGAACTCACAACCTTGTGATTGCTAGCTAGGCAGGGGCTTACGCCACTGAGCTAAATCCCAGCCCCTCAACTTTTATTTCTAATTTGTGTTTATCTTTTTGTTACATTTTGTATTAAGTTTAGAATTGAGTTTTTAAACTATAATAATTCCGGGGCTGGGGATTTAGTTCAGCGGCATAAGCACCTGCTTGGGAGCAGGCGGTCATGAGTTCGATCCCTGGTACCGATAAAAAAAAAAAAAACTATAATAATTCCTTTACATTTAAAATGAAAATTCACTATTTTAATTTTGTGAGATAGTCATTTCTGCTATAACTTTTTTTTTTTTTTGGTACCTAGGATCGAACTCACGACCTCACGCTTCCCAGGCAGGCAAGTGCTTACGCCACTGAGCTAAATCCCCAGCCCACCGCTATACCATTTTTTAAAAACATGAATTTGTTCCATGATGGATCTATTAGGGAATTCGTTTATTTCCAGTTTTGTCTGTGAGACACATTAGATCACCGATTTCAATCAGGACAATTTTGTCTCTTGAAGTTACATTAGGCTAAGTCTGTTGTCATTTTTGATTGGTAAAATTGAGGAGGGGGTGTGCTAGTGTCATCTACCACTATCTGCCAAGGATCCTGCTAAATACAATACACAGGACAGTTTCTGCAGGGAAAACTTTCTGGTACAAAATGTCAACAGTGGCAAGAATGAGAACCAAACAGCTGAGCTTGTGTACGTCACCCAAAATGTTCAGACACACCCTCCACACATCCACCAGCTTTTCTACCTGATATCCACCTCAGATGTCCTAGCGTCAAGAGCCCTATCTAGTATCACAACTTCCTATCTCATTTCATGACATGCGCAACACTGCTGTAAGGACTGTACAGTGAGACCCTGGCTTAAAACAAAACAAAAAACAAACGAGAGAGAGAGAGAGAGAGAGAGAGAGAGAGAGAGAGAGAGAGAGAGAGAGAGAGAGAGAGAGAGAGAGAAAAGAAAAAGGCAAATGCAATCGTATTAAATTACAGAGTTCAGCACCCTTCTCCCCAGTTTTGGGCATCCACAGAGTGTATGGAATGTAGCCCGCAAATTAGATTGTATAGGCGATTTTTAGGTTAATGATCTTAATTTATTCAACAACCTGCAAGAATGCTCAGGAGAAAGGTTCGAAAAACACGCCTTGATCTTGATTTCAATAAAACACTAAATAAACAGCGTGCGCTCTCTATGGATTTCACCGTCCTCTACCCTCGCAGCCCGCCCTTCCTGCCTCCTCTCAACACCGACGCGACCACGTTAGAAACTAAACCCCGGTACTGGAGCCCTCACCAACCGTCCTGCCAGGCGCCCGGCATCTGCAGTCCGGCTGCACGCGCGCCCACGGCTGGACAGGCCACCGCGCCCCGGGCCCGCAGTCCGCTCCCGCCCCCCACCCGCCAGGCCGCGTCCGCGCAGCGCTTTGTTTGCAGGTCCGGCCACCAGCTCCCCGGGGTGGGAGTGGCGGGGAGGCTCGGATGCCACGCGTGTCGCTCCTCCCCGCGCGCTGAGCCACCCACAGGCCGGGATGCGGCCGCCGACGACCCAGCGCGCCCCGAGCCCGGGGTCCCGGCCGGAGCCGCTTACCCGAGTCGGCGCGGCCATGGCCCTCACGGTCCGCGCAGCTCCAGCGTCGCGCACCGTCCTCGGCGCCTTCCTGGGAACCTCTGTCACCGCCGCACACACCCGCGCGCTCCCCTAAATCTCCGGAGCGCAGGGGCTGCGCACCGAGCCTGCGGGACGCGCAGGTCGGGGACGGCGGCGCTCAGGCCCAGGGCGCCCCCTGCAGGCGGGAGGAACGGCGCCGCTGGGGTCTTAAACCCGGCTCCTGCTGATCTGCAGGCGCCCCAGCCCAGCTGTCTGTCACGGAGCCCCGGACTTCTGGAGAGGCAAACAGTCTAAGACAGAGGAGAAAATAACCGGGAAAGACTCCACCTAGACACGCTGTGAGGAGGGTGCAGTGTTTATCTGGGTTCCTCCCAAGGCAGCCGGGAGCTCAGGGTCACCAGCTAGTGTTAAAGCAGGACTTAAAGAAAAAAAGAAAAAGTCGCCTTCCCCAAACTTACCCCTCCCTAATGGCTGTTGTTCTTTGTTCTAACATAGATACAAGCAGTAACATTTGTCCCTGTAAGTAAAATTTTATAATCTCCTGTGCCCATAACATCCTGCTATGCCTCTGCAGGGCCACCAAGATACAAAACTGTCACAGCTTGACAAACTGCCTTTGTTCTCCTTTGTCTGCTTACAAGTTCCATGTGCGAGACCGAGTCCTTTGACCAAGGGTGTAAAAACTGGAGGCTAACCTTTGTCCAATGCTCAGCCATTTGGACGGGAGTCCCGTATACCTAATAAAATCCTCCTGTTTTTCCCTTTTGGTCTGTCTGATTTTTTGGATTCTAAAGCAGTGTGGATTCCTGTTTCAGGGCTAACGTAAACTAAAACTGAGGCACAAGCATGCAGGCAAAAAATTTTACTGGGAAGTAATAGGAAAGAGAGACAGGGCTTCAGTGTGAGGAACTGATGGGGGTGAGGGTCTGAAGAAGAATATCACATCCATCTGTCAACAAAGATGGGAAACCAGTTAAATGTGGTGCTGTGGTGGGCTGCGGTCTGGCTGATCATTATCTCAGTCCCAAATTTGCAGTTCCAGAAGAATCCTTATGGATTGCGGTAAGTTTGTTTCCCACGAATGATTGTTTTTGTCCTATGGCTAATCTATATTTCTGGGGTCGGGAATTTTACCTACATTTTATTTTGAAGGTGGTGCAGCTCCTGAGATAGGTCCACTGAGCAGCCCAGCAAGTGCTGCAATCTGGCTGTCATGAACTTTTTTTCACTTTGCAGAAAAAGCACCTTCAACTCACCTATAGGCTTATGCCCAAAGGACCATACCAACCACCGGTAGTCTTGTGTTTTTTTTTTTTGTTGTTGTTTTTTTGTTTTTTTTTTTTTTTTTTTAAGGTATGGAGGATTGAATTTTAATCCAGAGAGTGCTTAGCTACATCCCCAGCCTTTCCTCCTCCCCCACTTTTTATATTTTGAGGCTAGGTTTTGCTAAGTTGTCCAAGTGGGGGGCTGGGGATTTAGCTCAGCGGCATAAGCACCTGCCTTGCAAGCAGGCGGTCGTGAGTTTGATCCCTGGTACCGATAAAAAAAAGAAAAAAAGACAAAAAAAAAAAAAAAAGTCTAGGTTGTCTAAGTTGTCCAAGTGAGCCTCAAACTTGAGGTGATCCTGCCTCAATCTCCTGAAGAGCTGAGGTTACAAGTGTGCACCCCCATATCTGGTGGCAACTTTCTTTGGTTAAACATTATGATTCTGGTAGTACCTTTGATCCCCTCTGATTATTTTTTGTTTTGGTTTGCTTGCTTTTTAGATAGGATCTGGCCATATAGTTGAGAGTGGCCTTGAATTCATTATGTAGGTTGGCCTCAAACGTGCATTGATCCTCCTGCCTCAGCTTCTCAAGTGCTAGGATTACATCTGTGATCTCAGCTGATTATGTCTCAAGTAATTTGGAATTACATTTTGTGCTACAAAAACAAAAGGAATCCAAGGATTTCCTAAGAAAGGAAAACTTCAGGGTTTTTGGGAGGGCAGAAGGGAGTACCAGGAATCAAATTTAGGACCTCATGTTTGCCAGGCAGGTGCTGTGCCACTGAGCTAAATCCCTAGCCCTTATAGTAATGTAAAAGGTCTGGCTGATCATTATCTCAGTCCCAAAAAGAATGTTTTACATTCTTTTAGTAATGTAAAAGATTCATAGTCCCAGAGACAGGTAACAGTTGTTAAAATAGTCTGGAAAAATTACTTTATAGTGAAACATTAGGCCACAGTGCAAATCCTAAACATGGGAATGATGTTATGGAATTTACTCAGAGATTCTAAAATTAAGACGTGTATTTAATTTCATTTCTTTTTAAAAACTGTGTCAATCAGTGTTTACTAGAGAACATACATGATACAAGATATTTAAAGATTGAGCTGGGCATGGTGGCCCCTGCCTGTAATCCCAGCACTCGGGAGGCTGAGGCAGGAAGATCATTTTGACTTGGAGACCAGTCTGGGCTACAAAGTGAGCTTAAATCCAGCCTGAACTGCACAGTGAGGCCCTGTGTCAAAAAGACAAAAAAAAATAAATAAATTTACAGATTGGCTTACAATGCTCACCCACAGAGTTGGGTATGGATGTGTGCACAATGTCAGTGTGTGCACTGTGGATCTGAAGGATCCAGTGGAAGGCCTGGAACTCTGCATAGGGTCCTGTGTGACTCCATATCTGGGCCAGAAGATTGAAGGGTTGATGACAGAGGCCAAAGAGTTTGTGCTGTAAGCCAAGAAACGAAGTCCAAAGGGAAAGCGGAGACTGGCACTCTTCCGAAGGAAACACACGATCCTTCTTTCTTTCCCTTTTTTTTTTTTTTTTTCATTTTTATCAGTACCAGGGATCGAACTCAACGACTGCCTGCTTGCAAGGCAGGTGCTTATGCCGCTGAGCTAAATCCCCAGCCCCTTCTTTCCCTTTTATACCGTTCTAGCAATAACCCTCCCTCGGGTGGGTCTCCCACACCCAGAACAATGCCAAGCAGTGTAGATGGGCATTATTTACCCAAGTTGACACAATCAACTATCACATTATTTTTATTGGCTCATGTTAATCATACATATTGATCACATCCATCATCTGCACATATTTTAATTCTTTTTTCACCCCATTCCCCACTCCACCTTGCCCTCCCCATTTATAGAAGCTTTGTCTCTCTCTACTTTTTCCCTTCCTTTTTTTTCCCTTTTAGCTTCCTTCCCTTCCCCCTTCCCCCTCCTTTGTTCCACTTTCTATTTGAGCATTTTCTCCCTACTTCCTCATATCTCTCATCTGTTTTGGTCCTGATATATGCTTTTGGTTTTTTACAGAAGACAAACAATGTAATATTTCAACAATGTGACTGATTTATTTCACTTAAAAGTATGGTCTGGAGATGCATCCATTTAATTAAAAATGTTTCAAACTTTATCCTTCTTTATGACAGAGTAGAACTCCATTGTATATGTAAACCACACTTGGGCTGTTTGCAAGATTTAGCTATTACAAATTGTGCTGCATGGGGCTGGGGATTTAGCTCAGTGGCATAAGCACCTGCCTTGCAAGCAGGCGGTTGTGAGTTCGATCCCTGGTACCGATAAAAATGAAAAATACAAAAAAATTTGTGCTGCATAAACATGGGTGTAGATATATTCCTGTGGTATGATGCTCTCAATTCTTTTGGGAAGATACTAAGAAGGGGAATAGCTGGATCAAGTGGAACCTCTAGTTTTAGTTTATTGAGGAATTTCCATACTGATTTCCATATTGTTTGTAACAATGTACACTCCTGTCAACAGTGGAGAAGGGTTCCTTTTCCCCCACAGCCTCACCAGCATTTGTTATTGGTTGATAGCCATTCTTTCTAGGCTGCAATGAGATCTGAATTTTCTGTCCATTGATCCTTGGGTCTATTTGTTTGTTTTTTGCCAGTACCAAGCTGTTTTCATCACAGTATGTTTGTAATATAATTTCAGGTTGGGGATTGTGATGCTCTCTGCTTTGCCTTTGTTTTCCAGAATTTCTTTTGCTATTCTAGGTCTCTTCTGGTTCCATATGAATCTAAGGGTAGTTTTCTCTAGTTCTGTGAAGTATGATATTGGTATTTTGATTGGGATTGTGTTAAATTTGTGTAGCAGTTTTGGAAGTATGGGCATTTTCACTATATTGTTTCTGCCTACCCAAGAACAGAGAATTTTTTTAAATTTCTGATATCCTCTTCAGTCTCCTTTTTTTTTTTTAAAGAATACTGTTGTTTTCAGTGTATTTGTTTTTTGCTTACTTTTTTTTTTTTAAAAAAAAACAGGGCCTAAGTAATTCAGCCTGGCCTTAAACTCACTGTGTATCTCAGGTTGGCTTTGAGCCCATGGCAATCCTCTTGCCTCAGCCTCTCAAGCGCTGGGATTACAGGTATGTGACCCTAGGACCAGCCACTTTCACTTTGTTAGATTGATTCCTAAGTATTTCATTTTTCTTGATGCTGTTATGCAAGGTGTGGTTTCCCAAATTGCTCTCTCAGGGAGTTTGTACATTCATGTACAAGAATCCTATGGAATTTTTTCTGTCTTTTTGAGACAGGGTCTCATTAGCAGTTCAGGCTGACCTGGAGCTCACTTTGTAGCTCAGGCTGGTTTTGGTCTCATGGTGATTCTCCTGCCTCAACCTCCGAGGTGCAGGGATCACAGGTGTGCACCACTACACCAGGCTAGGAATGCTGTAAGTTTTGAGTGTTGACTTTCTATCCTGATGCACTGTAAATCTGGTTATTAATTTTAGTAATCTTATGGCAGTTTCTGGAGTTTTCTATGTAGAATATCATGTCATCAGGAAATAATGATAATTTAACATCTTCATTTCCTATCCATATTCCTTTTCTTTTCTTTTTCTTGTTTAATTATTCTGACTAATGTTTCCAGAATTACATTGAATCAGAGTGGTGACAGTGGATATCCTTGTCTTGTTCCTGATTTTAGAGTGAAAGCTTTCACGTTTTTGTCAATGTGATGTTGGCTATTGATTTGTCATAGATGGCTTTTATCAGATTTAGATAAAGACCATCTATTCTGATTCTCTCTGCAGTTTTATTATGAATGGGTGTTGGACTTTAACAGATGGATTTTCTGCATCTATTGAGATGATCATATGGTTTTTGTTCTTGGCTCTGTTATTATGGTGTATTACATTTATTGATTTGCTTTTTTGAGCT